TCCCAATTACAAATGTATACAATAAATTGCTATATCGTCAAGGTTAACTTTAGGAGCACAATTTCCAGGAGAAATTAGAAACGAATAAATTTGGCTTTTATGTTGTTATTAATTACCTTACACATGATTTGCCACCAAAAATCATCCAATATCTCGATTTTCATAAGCCCAGTTTAAGCTATATCGTAATTAACTATTAAGTCTCCCCACGCAAGAAGAATGTTGAAATAGATTTATTTTTTTAAGGTTAAAGGTTAAAAGGAGTCTCTTTAGAACTATTACTACCTATATTGGTCGATTATGTAATCTACATCATAATCTAGAGCTTATTACGTGTTAGGGTGAATCCCCTTCACACGATGCAAAACTCGTATCCTTGCGAGTGTAAAATAAAAATAAGAAAAAATGTTTATGCCACAAACTCAATTCAATTAAACGGAAAAGTCAAAAATTGGGACCTGATCCAAATAAATTATAACAAAACCTTTAAAAAAATAAATGTATTCAGATTTGAAAAAAAATATGTGATCTTTGACATACGCAACTAACTCCTTGCCATTTACATAAAAAGAGCAGGTGTCTTCAAATAAAATTGAGAGAGTCCTTCCTCGTCCTTTAGTGGCTCAGCTCGCACTGCCCGATCCTGCTTTAGGGGATTAGCTTATCCTTTGAGATAAGCTCCATTTAAAAATATTGTTATAAAAATTCCCCAAAAAAACTAAAAGAAAAAAAGAGAAAAAAAGAAAATTGTTATTCTTATACATTCAATTGTTTGAAATATGGCAAGGAGGAGTTTAATGAAATAATTTAAAACAGTTTACAGTAATCATTATATCCCGACAAGTGTTCAAGACGGCTGAATATCTAGAAGAAATACTAGTTTCAAATTTTCTTTAAAGATGTGCGTAGTTCCAGTCAACGATGGAGTCCTCATCAGCTTCCCTTTTGATGTAGGAATTGTCATGCTGGTGGAATAAAGGCTTTTATGATAAAGCGAGATGTGCCATGAACGAGAAGTAGGTAGTCCTTGGAGTAGTATGAGCCGCTGTCCAGGAGTGGACGGATGTAAAGAAATGCAGTCCATAAGCGCCAAGTCCTGGAATACAAATGCTAGGCATTCAGAAGTGTGGTGCGAAATGTTGAGGAATGTAGATAGAGCTGTGGTTTCTCTAATATCTTTGCGGACAGCAAGTAGACTACAGCTTCTTTTTCGTTTTGCAATAGGAATGGAGTAGGTATTATCAGAGTTGATCACATATGTTTATATTGTAGTATTAGATTCATAGAATTATTGAAATTAATTGTGAGTTTTATGGCACTTTTCTAGTTATTTTTTATTTTTTATTTTTATTTTATTTTATTTTTTATTATTATTTTTTAATGAGAAGTGTAAAACTTTATTTAAAATTACAACATAATTCTTTCATGATGCAAAATATAAAAACTATCCCTAGGCCATGGTATTAATAGTAATACAATTTTAAATGAAAACTTAAGTAATATTTCCATGAAGAAAAATAAATGTCATTCTGATATTTGATAAAAATTATATGATCTTTGACATACGCAACTAACTCCTTGCCATTTACATAAAAAGAGCAGGTGTCTTCAAACAAAATTGAGAGAGTCCTTCCTCATCCTTTCGTAGCTCAGCTCGCACTGCCCAATCCTGCTTTAGGGGATTAGCTTATCCTTTGAGATAAGCTCCATTTAAAAATATTGTTATAAGCTCTTCGTTAAGTTTAAGGCTCTTTATCAGATTCCCAAGCTTTGTTAAAAGCTATCGTGTGTATCATTCAAAGCTTGTCTTTTCCTCTCCCAGGAGTAAGAATCTCAGCCTGCATACATGCAATATTGGACATGTTCCCCTGTTTCTTCTACGTCCTGGCATTGTCTGCACAGGCTTGTTTCTGCCACCAAGAGTCTATACATACATGCCTCCAAGGTCTGCGGTGTCCAGTAAGTAATCTTACTGCTAGTCCTAATACATCCTAAGTTTAGTAGTTCTGCCACAGTTTCTACGGCTCTGAGTCTACGCCTCCAGGGTCTGCAGTGTCCAGTAAGAAATCCTTCTATCGTTCTAGTTCTAATACATCCTAGGTTTAGTAGTTCTGCTGCTAGGGATGCACCAACAGACGACTTCTGTTTTTCTTCTTCCAAAAACTATCTGCACAGTCCTTCTGCTGCACTGAGTCTATATGCCTCCAGAGTCTGCAGTCCTACTATCATTCTAGTCCTTACATGTCCAAGGTTTAGTCTGCTGTTATATTCTGTGATGGTCCTTTAAGGAACTTTTTCGCCTTTGTTCTGGATCATTCACATTGAGCCGAGGACTTATTTATTTTTAAACAGACTGATGCATCTGTGTTAGCTATTTGTATACTTGTCCCAATTGAACTTTCCTCGTACACTTTAATAAGCCTATTTGCCTAAAACAAGGGCAATTTTGTTGTCAATGTCAGGACCCTGATGAAATCCCAAAGGCTCCAGACTTTACTGCCGATGAGACAGTTCATTAGTGCTATTGCTTGTAATACAGTTTTGAACTCCTTGGCACCGAGGCAAGTAACTACCCCAAGGCTTACATGAATTCTAGTACTTACTTATTTACATAGATGCCCAACTCTTGATCCATATCCGGTATTTAAACCATCTTTATACCAGTGTTGCCAATAACTGGTATTTTCTCCAGTTTGCTCTATTGTGTATTTTGATTAGAAATTTTTTGAAAATTCTTAAGTTTGAGATCATGGCATCAAACGCATCCCCAGAACCTAGTCCGCAATTAGCTTTATTTGCTCTCTTTTAAGCGGGTAGGCTATTGAATCGTGAATTATGGCTCAGCCTCTCCCTGGATTAAAGTATTTTTTTCTGCAGTACTGAGGATCCTGATCACTCACTCGTAGCATCTCCATCCACCAAACCAACAACTTTTGGAGTAACCGGCTGTGTACAACCAGCATTGGACCTAGTCCCCAGCTTTTGTCAAGCTGAAAATAAATACTTCATACTGTTGTCAAATTTATTCAAAAAAGCTGTGTACAAAATTAAACAAACACAAAGACAAGAGTATGTAGAACATTCACGATTATGTATAATTAATATTAATTCTAGAGGGGAAAAAAAAGACACTGGGAGATAATAAAAGTACACAAAGTATTGGAACAATATGTTTTCAAAATGTGTAACATTGTTACATTCTTTTTTATCACACCAAAAATCAATATCTTATCAAATCATTATAAAGGGAAAATTACATATTTTGTGTTAAAATTATAGTTTAAATCTATCCATTCAAGCATAAATCTTAAGGAGTATAGTTGTTATGCTTAAACACACATTTAATAACTGTTTTATATGTTATCCAACAATTTTAACTTTAAAAAAAAATATATATATATTTAATAACACATAATATGTTCAAAACTCAGATTAACTGTGAAATTAATTTTACAATATTACCATATGCATTGAAGACCAATATTGTTCCTTACTGATTATAAAGTACAACAGAAGAGGTTCAAACTTAAATTATGTAATAAGTCATGAGGGTTAGCTTTTAAATTAGAACCTGACACAAAAGTGCAAACTTTAATACACAAAACAGAATTAAGTATAAGCTGATTTAACACCTCACATTTATGAGAGAAATTGTTATAAAGCGTTCATAGATCATAGGGTTGGTTACACCGAGAACCATCACATATTTTTAAAGTTCTGAAGAAAGACAAATATTTATTTTAAAATTGTATAATTGTAAAACTTAACATCCTTTTAAGGATTGGATAATTTTTAAGCCTGCAGGCCTCTCTGAAACTGAACAAACCCTGCGACTCCATTCGAATGTCTACAGTATCAAAGGGAAAAACGTTATTGTTCCTATGTGGGCATGTTACCCTGGCCCTGGAATTGTATTCTCATGTTAAAAAAAAAGGGTGTCCGATAATATTCAACGCATGGCTACTGTAGTATACCAAAAATCCTATTGCTAATTAAGCGGTTATAAAACTAAAAATTCCATGTTACAACCACAATTTTGTCAATATCTGAGAATTCTGACTAGATTTTTGACCGTGTTATAAACACTCATTGCCAGATTACCATGAAATCAAAGTTTTCTTCCTGCAATCAATTTTACAAGTCTAATTTAATTAAAATGGAACAAACTTTATTTTTAATTGCAAACTATTTTATATTGCTTCAAGATCTAGTCAATTTATAGTATTCTGTCTAATTACTATTCTCTCGTTTAAAATTGTTAAATAAAACATTCTTTGGATTGAAAACCATTTATATGTATGAATCTAAAATTCACTTTATCGATAAAATACTATTAAAATGACAAACTATTATTACTGCTAAGGTATTTTTTTATACATATAAATACAAATTAAACTCGCCTATATTAAACATCATACGCTGTTCGGATAAGACGTAGACTTTACTAGATCAAATGTGATAAAAGATGAGTTACGGAGGAAAAAACCTGTCGTTCACAGTAAATTTTACACTTATTAGTAGAAATCTCGATATCTATACACTATATTGAGCGTTATTATTTTTTTAATTGAACCAATTATAAATAACTCAATTTGAAAAAAATTAAAAGACAAGCTTGTAGCTTTAATCTATTGATCTCGCTAAGCCACCAAGCACCAGTGAAACAAAATTAGAAACAGTATTGGTAACTTGAAAAAAGTAAGGTATAAAAGAAACTGTTCTCACTCATAGCACAACAAAAACATTAATTTTAAAATCCTCATAGCAAGGAAATGTTTATTATGTTTATAACATTAATCATATATTTTTGTTGTTATGTAAGCTAGGTAAAAATAAAGTAAGTTTAGATTATATTGTATATAAATGTATTAATAAACACTGACTGGAAATATTAAAAATCAATTTACTCATTTGCTTTCAAAATAAAATTTTTAAAAAAGTTACAAAACTTTAAACATATTTACTTTAAACTTAATCATTAGATTGTAAACTAATAAAAATAAAAACAAGTGGCTTGCTGTATTTTCAATGTTTAAGAAACAACGATAGAAGCTAGATGTAAAAAGTTCAGTTTAAAAGTTTCAAAAAATTCTTAAAATTAAATTAACATTAATCAGTGCAGACAGGTCACACAATATGGAATTGTATCACATACTGTTGGAATGTTCTGAATATTCCTATTAATAAAGGAGGAACTGAGAAATTAAAAAAACATCGATTTTAACGGTCAGAATTGAAATTATATCTTCCAATAATATAACTTGTGTAATGTAGAATGTATATATATGCAAATAAATAATATACTATTTTAAGAGGTTTTAGTACTGCGTACATTGATCTTTCAAATTTAAAAGGCGTTTTAATTATAAACTGTAGGGGGGGAAAAATTGAGTTTTATAAGATAAAAAGAACATGGAATTAACAATAATATAGCAATGTTATGCCGTTTTAATTAAGAAAAAGAAACTAAAGCTCTTGATTAAAACCATGCAGTAATAATTACATACAATAGTTTCATTAAACCTTAAACTTAGTGTGAAAATATATTGTTGAAGCATTTCTTATTTATTTTTTTTTTATCACAGATTTATTTTCAGGCAGCATATAATGAGTCAAACAAACATCCTACGGAGCTATTCTGAAAAAGACAACTCTTTTTCCTTTTCATCCTCATATAATATTTGGGAAAGGAGATCGTGAAGAGGTTCAAAGGCTTTTCGGTATGCCAAATCACTTAGATGAAGATAATCGGGCATGTCCAAATGGGATATGGTGCCGTCGGATTGTACGAGTCCGTTTTCTACAGAAAGCGCTTCGATCCTTGGGAGGCCCTGCACCTTCTGACGTAACAACTGGTTCACTTGTTTGTTTTTTTCGCGGAGTTTATTCGGGTATTGTCCTCTGGGCAGCAGTTCCTGACAAAGAAATTATTCATTTTAATTTAATGACACAAGAATTTTAATTTGCTCAAAATATTTCTCAAACGTAAAGAATAAAATAAATAATTTTCGAGGGTTTTACATGCAGTTTTTAATTTATATCAGTCTTTTATCACTCTGATATAACTGATTTATTAAAAATAAACTTTTTTAAATCTCATTTACACTTGCACCAATTACTGTGCTTAAGTAAATTTGATATAATTTTAAAACACAAAACAAAACAAAATGAACAAGAAAATATGCTATTTATTTATTATATATNAGCATCTAATCATTAGTAGTCACTCTTATATATTATAGCGTTAATATAACTGTTACTTAGGAGGTCACAAGACCAGTGACATTTCAGCCCTCAGGGATGATTACTTGGAAGGGTGTGAGATGAAGGTTTCTGACATGGGGGTTTCTGTGATTGGATAATTGTTTATGAAACTTCTTGTAGCGGTTTTTCGCCACTTCAAGGACATATTGGATATTAAGGTCATTGTGAATGGTAAGATTGGATGCACAGAAAGGAACGTTGACAATCGTTCGAAGTACATTGGATTATAGGGATACATTTGAGGTTGGAACGTTTTGCTGGACACCAAAGTTCCATGCCACATGCCCATGGAATGGTAGTAATTCAACAATAGTAAATAAAATAGTAAATAATAGGGTATTCAAAAGGAGTCGTTCGTTATGTACATTCAGTTTGAATCGTTTGTCCAGCAATCTTTCAAGAAGTCTGCAGTTCTTGATATGTGAGTCATTTGTGTGGGGTTCCAGGTAAATTGTTTGTCAATGTATACCCCAAGGTTATGGAATACATTAGCTAGTGAGAGAGGGATAATTTTGTATATGGAAGTAGTGGCTATTCTCCCAAGGGTGAAAATGACATGTCCACATTTTTGTTTATTGTCTTCTTCCACCGCTTGAACCACTGCTCGCTCAGGGGATGTGACGGGTTTGCAGGTTTCTGGTTGAGATGACAGGATCTTTATGGATGGCAGAATCATCTGCATAGGTGGTAAGGATAGCATCAGGGAGGGAAGGAATGCCCGCAGCAGTTTGTACTGTGTAGAGGGATGGGTTCTGAGATCTTCCGCCTGAGTACTCTTGCATCTGTGCAATAGCCATCTGATAATGAGTGGTCACTGATGACTTGAAAGTATCTGTCAGATAGGTAAGATTTTATGACCAGGTAATAGCTGAAAGGGAGGACTCTCTTAAGCCATACCCAATCGAAAGCGTGCCTCACATCTAAAAATACACTGGACTCCTTTTGATCAATAATGGAAAAAACCTCCTTGAGGAAAGCATAAGTTAAATTTAAATAAACTTATACAAATTGTATTTGGACACTTGGATGCTTGAATAGTGGAAGCCATTCTCTTCACAGATGAGTGCCGGTTTGATTTATGGCAATGTGGACAAGTTTGGAGAATGCAAACATGTGCCATGCGTGATACATAGCCTTTTCAAAGTCATTGAGGGTATGCGGTGGAATCAACATCCATGCCTGTACCGAACTGATTATCATACCGAATTTTGGCTGCACTAAGGTGCATTGAGGAAGTTCTTCTGGAAACTTGGTCCCATTCACTCCACTGGGGACAACTTCGTGTTAATACATGATAATGTTTGATCGCAGTTGTCACATATTACTTGGAGGATGTAGGGATCACCACTTATGGGACATAATAAAGAGATGGGTTAGATATCATTCACCATCTCCTGAAGAGGCTTTGAGCAACTTCAAACTGCTCTTGTTGAAGAATGGAATTCTATTTCACAAGTCAAAATCCGATCGCTTATGTACTCAATGCCTAGGAGATTTAAGGCCCTACTCGAGGCCAGTGGAGGTAATACATGTTACTAAGAACAAACCCAGAAAATCATTAGTTACATTTTAATCTATCAATAAATATTTTCTGATGTTTTGGTGAATTTTCATTCAAACCATCATAATTAAATCATTGTCATCAAAACTCATGAATTTCTGATCTCATTTATTTTAGATTAAAATAATATGTGTAATTAATATAATGATAAAAATGCATATAGTTTGAAACAAATAACAAAATACGAATTTCTAGTTTTGTTTTTGTTTTTTCTTTGATTGTATATGCAATTAATGATGTGATGCTGTAAATAAATGCTTGCAATCAGAAATGGAAGCAAGCTGAAATAAAGTACCTTTCTTCAGGGTTTACTGAAGAGAGGAAAAGAAAATCCCTAACCTAACCCTGCCTGCCTAATCTCTCCTTAACCTAGCCCTAAACCATCCTAACCTAAACCTACCTAACACGTGTCTCCCCGATACACAACATTTGTAACACAAAAAAAGATCACCCAAAAAGTTGTGTATCCAGCCAAAAAATACATACATATAAATAAATTATTTCGAATGACCCCAGGATCCTGGAAAAGTGGGGATAGCTGGCACCAAATGCACACCTTTCATAGGAGAAACTGGGCCTCCAAGCAAAAACTTTCACTATCCATACTTAACCTATTTAGGACGGTCAGCGCTCTTCGTTCTCCAAGTGAGGTACTGAAAGCGTGATATCGAGCTCGACTTTCTTCACATTACATTTAAGTTCATAGAAGCAGTGGCTTTTTAAGTTATTATTTTTAGAACAAGTGAGAGTGAAAAATTTAGAAAATATAACAGTGTTGTTTTTTCTTTTAAGCAACATGCTGCTTCTATAAACTTCAATCTAAAAATCGACTAGAGCACAATATTTCACTCACACTGAGTAGTGGAAGGGAGCGAGTGTGATGGCACACTCGGTATCTTGTTCACCGTCCTGAAAGGGTTAATTAATTCACCCCTCACTTGAAAATGAACATTGGCAAAAGAACAACACATGCGGGTTTAGTTCATTTTCCAAATTTGACCACAAGAGCTTATTATTTAAGCAAAAACAATTTGAATTTTGAGATTTCCATTTTAGGTCTGCAGGAAGATGAGCTAAAGTTTGGTAGTTGGCCTGCTTACTCTTGAAATTTCGGTCTGCTGGTTTAGACTACTCATCATTTTTACCAGTGGGTGTTTGTGATCTACTTTGTGACAAAACCACGCTGCAAACTTTACAAAAGAAAATCACGGACTATACTCAACTATACTCCAAAATCATTCCATGCAAACAGACAGAACTATAGGAAATTTAACTACCTTAAAACTAATACTATTAAATATAGAGTATCTAACAAGACAAACTAAGCTGTCAGTTTTTTTTCTCTTTTTTTGGTATTAACTAAGGCTTATTTTCCTGTGGAATAGCTCTTTATGTCATATTATAATTATAAATGTTAATAACAGCTCAAGTCTGTTTTAATTTTCTTACCAGTATAATAAGGTATGCTTCAGGTAACCTGGTTCTAACAGAAAAAGCCACTTCCATTATCCCATCAACGACATCTTGTGCAGTATCATCTATATTGTTCGTTCCAACATGGATTACCACAGCCTGCAATTGTTTAGTTTGGTTATTTGTAATCAATGATATTAAACATGAGTTTGTTGAGTTTTTATCTGTCGAACTGCCAGTCGTTGACAATTTTAATATCGTTTATCATCTAATTTCGGTTTATTCTACACAATAGGCAAAAATAAATTGATATTATTTTTCTGTCTTACTGAGAGAAAGCAAACCAGGAGGATCGTGTAATTCGTATAATTTATTTGATTCTCGGCGACAAATGAAATGGCCACAGAGAGCTTTAGTGAAGTATACTACATTTTGCTGATTAAATCCATTAGGTTTCGTGGTCCAATTGACCAAATAAATTCTTTTCAATTAATTAATCTTTATGTAAGGTATTGATTGAGATAAAAAAGTCAGTATCATGAGTGGGATTCGAACCCACAACCTTAGGCTAAATACACCGATGCTCTCCCACCTGAGCTATCGTGACTTCAATCGACTCACACAACAACTTCCCTTCTCAACCCACCTTTTCAATTTTCCCTCCTTTTTACCGTTTTTCAAATGTTGTGTAATTTATTTGATTCTCAGCAACAAATGAAATGGCAACGGAGAGCTTTAGTGAAGTATACTTCATTTTGCTTATTAAATCCATTATTATTGAAATAAATATTATTATGAAATTTTTCATTGAAAATGGAAGAATGATTCATCATTCTTCCAAACCAACGACCAAACCAATACTTTTAAGTAGATGTACAATAGATTTTACCAAATTAACTTTTTTTAATTTTAATTATCTTTAATAAGATTCAAATTTACTTGTGGTTATTTCAAGGAATGAAATTTGTACATACAGATTGCATTAAACTTAAAATAAAAAACAAATAAGTTCAAATATAATTATTAACATAGAGAACAACTATGTTCTCTATGTCCTCCCAACTACCTTTGGTGTTATATTATCCAGCTCTCCATGTTGAATTCTCCATAAAACGTTTTGCGTCTTATCTCCGGAAATGCCAAAGTTCAGACAATGAAACTGTTCGAACATGTCGCTCCACACAGGTCTCAGTTGAAGATGATGAATTATCGAATCGCCAATCATAACCACATCTGGTTCTCTACCCTTGGTTTCAGTCAAATGTTGGTTATGCTAGAAAACAAAAAATTATGTAGAATACAAGGGAAATTACTTTTTATATATAGTACAATATAACTAGAACTTCACACTCACATACTTTTCTCCACTTCATAGGAAAACATTGAATCATGGATATGTAACCTAACCCATCCCTAACCCTAACCCTACCGAACCTAACCTGTCCCTAACCCTCGTTTAATTTAATTAACCATTAACATCAAAACATGCTACAGACTTTTTGTAAGTAATTTTCATATTATATTCCAATGGCAAAACTGGAATTCAGACTAAGAACTGCAAGCATTACAAGAATCCTAATCTAAAAGATCCCTAACCCTTGTTTATTTTTATTGAATTAACCATCAAAACACGATATGGACTTTTTTGTCAATAACCTAACCTAACCCAAACACCACCTAATCTAAACAATCCTTAAACCTAAACCTACTTAACCTAACTTGTCCCTAAATTCTTGACAATGCAATAATGCTATTCAGTTCAAAACATTCCCATGTTTACAAGTTTTATTAAAATTGGCGATCCCATAGGCGGATAGTATTCCCTTGAAAGACTGATTTATGTGTAACTGCAGTCAACATACCAATAAAAGTTATGTAAAGTGAAACCTTATAAACTGCTCCTGAGAGCACTAAGCTTATTTATCTCATTACTCAAATTTAATTAAAAGACATTTTTGACTTATTGATTTCTGAATATCTTGGCACATCAAAGCAGGCTGTAAATTTAATTTCACCCAACCAGGCTTTTTTTTTAAACAATTTTATTATGCATCCTGCTGGTTGAAATACTTTGACTCCTCTAAAAGTCTGTGGCATTGAACCTGTTAACTTGTAAAAACTGAGCTTAAAAAATTGAAACCTTTGTATACCAACAGTGCCAATTTTACCAGTAGAATTAAAACTGCAGTAATGAAACATCACTGCAATATACAAAGAACTGTTCAGATGTACAACTATCTGTCCAATATACACAGTAAAAGGAGATAAAGGAGTATATAAAAAGTACAGATGAATTTTGCTTTTAAACATTGTGTATTAGGGGCATCGGTGGACTACGGTTTAGGCGTTGACATGGCGCTCATCACTGTAAGGTAAAGGTCCCGGGTTCAAATCCAGCGGCCCAGCATTCAAACCCGACACACTTACAAATGGGCTTTTTTTTTCAAAAACACTGGCACCCCAAGGGTTCAAATAACCTCATAGTTGAAATACCCACAAAAAAAAAATGCATACAAAGTCCTGGCCTAAGTCATCCTAAATTGCCTTAAAATAAACTGCTCAAAAATGAATAGGGATATTGCCAATTTTGTAATATTTACTTTCCCTAGCATTTTTATTTTATTTTTATTAAAAATTGCATTAAAATCTATTAGAAATTATTGTTGTTTTTTTACTGAAGGAAAAATTAAGGGATTTTGAAAATAACTAAATAAAAGTTTTAATTTCATAATTTTGTTTGTTGAAAACAATAATTTTTTAAAACAATTAATACCGTGTATAACGTCCTCTGTTAGCTAAAACCTCTGTGCGCCTGTTAGGCATACTGTTAATATGGTTGTCACTAATTTCATAAGGAATTTCACACCATAGATTGCATAGGTTGCAAGGCTGCACTCAGTTGCAGGTCAACAGGCTGCGGCTTCTCTGCAACGCATACCACATGTGCTCAACGGGATTAAGGTCTGGAGACAATGGGGAAAAGGGCAGATGGGAAATTCCCAAGTTTTCTAAACATTGATGAATAACTCAGCCAGAGGTCATTTGTCATTGTCATCCAGAAATCAAAAATCCCTGACAAAGAGATCCCTGGCTTGAGGGAGGTATTGCTCGATAATTTCTTGGGCATAATGGACTGCGGTGAGGACGTCTTCACCAATATGGAGTCCAGTTCATCCTCATGTAAATCCCAGCACAGACCATTACACCACCCCTTCCAAAGCGCATTGAAGGGAACGCGAACTGGGGCATTCTACCTATGCCCCGTTCTTGATAGATTCTTCGACGCCTGTTTTCACTATACAGACAGAAATGCGACTCATCAATAAACACAACAGCATTCCAATTGGTGTACTCTTCTAGGCGCTTGCATCATGATATTCTCCTGAGTTGCTGGTGGCGGGCTGTTGCTGTAGGTCATCTCAAAGTGGCATACAATGAGAGGCCAACTTCTCATGATTACAAATTTATTTTTTATTAAATTCCAACGGCAAAACCAGGATTCAGACCAAGAAGTGCTAGCATTGCAAAACCAAGAATCATAAACTACCCCATCCCTAAACCTAACCCTACATAATTGAATAACCCTAACTAACCAACCAAACCTGCCCCTAACCAACCCAACCTATGTACACTTCTCGATAATCAAAAAAGTTATTCAGTCCAAAACATACCCATGCTTAAAAGTTTCATTAAAATTGGTGATCCCATGTCCATAGCATCCCCTTGAAAGACTGATTTGAGTCTGAGATTCTTCATTCAACATACCAATAAATGTGTTATTGAATATTTATCACTAAAGCACACTACAGACTTTTTTCTAATAGTTCTCATACTAAATTCCAAGGGCAAAACCAGGATTCAGGCAAGAATCGCAGTCTCAAAATTACGCATTAGACAAAAATAAAGGAAAAATAAAATAATTCCTGTCTTACAGGAGGGCATTCGCAACACCCAACACCCAAGTATGGGAGGTGAGAGCCACTTTACAATTCTATTTCAAATTACATATTATCAATTAAAAAACCATGTCCTCTGACGGGATTCCAACCAGAACCGCTAGCGTGTTAAATATGTGTCAGACGCCCTAGCCACTACACCTCAGTTCCCTGTATGGCTCTTCAGCTTCACAGATTATCACTTGGAACAAGATGGAGTGTAAAACAATCCTAGGTTCATATCACAAGACACAATGCTGCTGTTGAGCACAATGAGCTTGTGTCCATAAGTTTGGAAGACCCGTGATGAACTTGAAGTTCATGATGTTATTATTTCTACACATTCAGCACGAAAACAACTGCCATTGGTTTAAATATAATGACGGAATTGTAAACAAATCATTATTGACTATCAGAGTTTGACTGAAAGCCAGGTCATAAAATAATTAAGCAACAAAGTCCGTCTGGTGTTGGAGATGATGACCATATAATCTGATCCTTACCATCTTGGCCTGCATTTCATATCTGGGTTAGTCTCTCAGACACGTTTCAGCATTTTGCCTGGAGTGACATGCATCTTTTTGTGACAGATACATTGAAGAAGGCGAAATACATCTGAAAGCCCTTTGAAGATTTCTCGGTAGCCTCTGAGCGATGTCCTGGAGAAAACAACTGCTTCAATTTATCCCATTAGTTGAATTACAATTTTACAAAGAGCCAATGTTTGAAACCGAATTTCACCAGAGCCACACGATAACTATAAGAAAGTTCGTTTTGGCTCACAGAACGTTGTACATTAATGTCCATTAAAAAGCACTCTCACTTCTCACAAAAACAAAATGTGAAATACAACCAAACCAGTGAAAACAGGCAGACTGAAATGGTCAGCAATGACCAAATTACAGGGTCATAACCCCATAGACTACACAGCGCAATTTCACAATAATTAAAAATTTGTTCATTTGTTGTAGTTCGTTCAGAGTCTCTGCGTCCAGAATACTGAAACAGCAAGGATGGTCAGACGAAACTTACCTGAAATGACCAAGCTACAGGTTCTTTGTTCATGTTTTCAGTGTGTGCCCTGACATGTCAGAAGGGAGGTCTACTGACCACCACATCAACCCTCATTTAAATTTAATATTAATTTGAAACCTTAATTAATTATAATGTATTAATTGGTCAAGCAGATCACAAAATTAGCGAATTTAATATTAATCGGACAGATAATTGTTCTAATTATCCTAGCTTCATCAGTTTAGTATGGCAGACACGTTTTGCTATTTCACCATGTTCTCTGAATCAATCACCTCACAGACATCAAGCATACAATTTAATCATGGAGGAATATCGAGTGCTTCGTCAGCATCAGCAAAATGACTGGTAACCAAGCAGGATCATCACCCCACAGATCACACAGTGAGAATTTGACATCTTTAACCATCTAACAATGAAAGGCATTGAAACAGTTATGCAGGTGTATGACCTGTGACTTGACTTGTGGTTAAACTACAGGAACTGTCTAGCTAAATAATTCCTAAAGTTTATTACTTTTTCCGTTATTCTCTTTACAACCTTTTATTACAAATGGGCCAACCGGCAATAAACATGGGTCATTGTATGGTCATTTTCGATCTAGGCATTGGTATCGTTGCTGTTTTAGTATAGTGTCTTGATACTTAGACCAAAATTGATAGGAAATAATTTAATTTCAGGTTCTCCACTTCGCAGAGGACAGTAATGTATGAAATTCAAATCATGAGACTGAAAAATTTTTCACAGTTATTTTCTTTGTTTTGCTGCGAAAGACTTCTTTGTTCATGACTAGCCCATTAACACACAACGTAAAGAAATTGTTTTGCAAGTATATATTTCCTTTTAAAATGCAATAAGAGTCATTTGAACAAGGAGACAAAAGATGTCGGTTGACAAAAATAAAAATATTGTGGATGTTCAGAAAAAGAAATATAATAATAATTGTTGCCAATGGTGTCAAATAACATTTCATTTTAACACATCGACCCCGGGATCACAAAAAGCTCGCTCCTTGGCAGCCTCTATTCACCCCGTGTATTCTTTCCCCTCTCCATTATACTTGTTTCTTTCCAACAAGGAAAATGATAGGGGACGGTTTTTGCTCACATGAGTAAATAAAAGGGAAAAAATGTTCCGACAGCGGATAAATTGCATCATATGCCCCAAAAGTAGTAAGGTCTTCGAGATAATGGAGGAATATTGCATACTCCATTGGCATCAGTGATTGGTAACCAAGTGCAGGTGAAACAAAGTGTGAAACGACCACTGTTGTTTTCTAACTCTTTCCGTTATTAAAAGTTTTTAAAAAATCTTCCTTTTTCTTCTACTTAAAAGCTCAAGAAGTCATCAAGAGGTCATTACGCTTTTGCCCCACGAAGTACTTGGGTATGACCTTAGATGCCAAACTCAAGTGGAAAGAGCATATGTCAAGAAATGTCAAGAACTCAAAATCAAATTTCGGAAAATGTACTGGCTCCTTGGTCAATATTCAGAATTGGATACTCGCAGCAAGGTGCATGCTCCTTTACCAGCAAGTTCTAAAGACTGTGTAGACTTATTGTATCCAGCTTTGGGGCTGTACCAAGAAAACTAATATGAAGACGATAAACTTTCAAAACAAAGTGCTAAGGAGCATGTGAATGCACCATGGTATATTCGCAACGACCATCTACATCGGGACCTCTGGGTGGAAACAGTTGGTGCTGCAATTCAACGCTTTGCTGTGAATCAAGAGCAAAGGCTTCACCAGCATCAAAATGGGCGAGTTCTCCAGCTGTCGGATAACAGCGAAGAAGCAAGAAGACTGATGAGGGCAAAGCCCTTGGACCTGGTGGCTCCGCTGGTCCATTGTTCTCATCACTTGTGTTTATTATAGGAAAAGTGCAGTGAGATTTGTTCTCTTGGAGTAGAGGTTAGTTAGTGAACTAATTACTCGTTAATGTGAATTATGTATAAAGTGAACTAGATGGGTACGTACTCAGTTATCGTCCAATAAAACTTTATAAAAAAAAAATCGTTGACATGAAGGAAGAATGGGTAAACGAAGAAAAACCGAACTAAGGCTCAATTGTTCTTCGTCATATTTGGGTCCAGGCGACCTGACAGATAAACTGAGTCTGTATGGTGACCTTAAATGTCCTTAGTTTTCCTTGTGAGACCCATTAAAGAAATAAAGGGCGATGGTTTAAAGAAAACAAAATAGATAGAAGAGTAAATATGGTGAAATTAGAAGTAGTGACTGTCGAAACGGCAGCGGCTCGGCTCACCTGGCTCAACCAACGGCCGTCTTCGCCGTCCTGAGGCGCGCATGGGACGATGCACGGGTTCATCTTCCTCGGCTCTTCAAACGGCATTCGTCCTCGTCCGCCGGCTTGCGAATCCCCGGCCGTCGCTGCTAGCCGTGCGATCGACGGTCACGTAGAAGCTCCCAGCATAATACGATCTCCGGCGGAAGGTGGTTTCGTCGTGGGTCGACTCCCGTCCGTCCTTCGGCTCGACCCCTTCTCACTTCCTTATCGACGACGAGAATTGATTCTTATGAGGACGTGCGGATTACCTCGGGCACTTTGGCAGAGTTGTCCAACTTGGTGTGGAGCCGGAATAGGTACAAGTATCGAACTATCGAGACTCTCGGACTACGTCGTATCGATTTTTCATTCCCTCTGCTGCTCTGCCACTACTTTGCCACTCGATACTTTTCGCGAGGTATCGAAAGAAAACAAAACGAGTTAATACGCGGTATTTTTAAAGTTGGAAGACAATGCAGAAAAAGAACTAGGTCTACTTACTACCACTACTACTGGTAGATGTAGATTTATTAGTGGGGGTATGTAGTATACGGTGCCCTTTAAGCAGAGTTGTGAGAACCTAAGTACAATTGTACTTAAGTACTTCCTTCAAGTATTTGAGTAAATGTATGAATGTATTATTTCAGGAACATCAGTGAAAGAAAGGGCGGGACAACGAAGTTATTTAAAAGTCTCAAGTTCTTCAAAAGTAATTGCAAGTACAAGTACTTTTACACGTACTTGCTATTTGATTTCCAGCGAGAACAAGTACAAGTAAAATACTTGACACTAGTAGTACAAGTACTTGTGTTTGTACTTGTGAACATTGAATACAATTACAAGTACTTGTACCTGTACTTGTGTGTTCCTGAGTACAATTACTTGTACTTAAACTTGTACTTGTACTTCCTTACAAGTAGTTATAGTTGAAACTGTTGTCATTGTAATTATTAATATCGCAATATTATTACCTCAATTTGAATTACACTTATAATAATTTTCCCCAACCAATGTTTTTAAACAATTTTACCATATAGCTTTATGCAATCAATTTTATTCTTTTCTCACTCACAATCAATCCTTTCCTATTCAAATTGCCTTTACCGATGTCGCTATAATTAAGTAATCTCATACCAAATATTTATACAGACATTGTATAAATTTTTACAATTACTACCTATTCCCTTAACAAATATAAAAGATTAATGTATGAGTCTTATACATTTAAAGTCTTAAGAGTTCTCATTGAGATGGTTTTCTAGTTTAGAACGAAAATTATATTATAGATTAAAAAAATCATAGTTTAAACATTCTTTAAATACACTAGTAATAAATAATCAAATCCTATATATTAAATGAGACAAATGAAATAAAACTCGAACTTTTACGTTAAGATACTCGTGTACACAAACAAATATCATTAGTAAAATATTCGAAGATAAAAATTTCAGACGATTCCCTCATCTCCAATATTAACTTTCTTACGGGTTTTTTCTCCCTTTGAACATTGCAGAACCTAATCACTACTTTATAAATATTAAGACCAAGTGGAGTTGATATGGTTTTATGGTATTGTGTTTTTATAATGTTGTAATTATTTAGAATCAACTCAATATAATGTCTTTATTCATACTGTATTTCCACACGGTCGGTTCAAAATGTGAATGCGAATTCATATTCAAGCTATTAAATTCACAGATTGCTAAGTACAGGTTTAACAGCGGGCAGTTTATGTCTTTCAGAATAATCCAAACAAAATGTGACTAAATATAGGCAAAAACCCCATAAAAACAGTTTTTGCGCAGTATCTACAAATCCATCACACTGGTAAAGTTCCAAAAAAAGAAAGTACTCATTGTACTTAAAGTACAATTACTAACCATAAGTACAAGTACTTGATTAATTGACCTTAACAAGTACAAGTCTTGAAGTGCATGTAATTGCACCCTGAGTAAACAAGTACAAGTACTTAGACTTCTACTTGTAATTTCAATTATATGTACTTGTACTTGAACTTATTCACTCTATTTCAATTCCAAGTAACAGTACTTGTAATTGTACTTGCAACTATTTTTCATGTACTGTACTCGTACTTTGTACTTTGTACTTGTAAGTACTGATTTTCCAACTCTGCCTTTAAGAGCTATGGTATGCCCCACTTTTGTGCTTATTTATTTCTTTATTTATTTACGGATCGAAATCCACTATAAAAAAGACATTTTACAATAACAAAAAATATAAATAATATATGTAAAAATACAAATAATATATATAAAAAGAATAAGGACGTATATACATGGTAATAATATAAATGGTAAATATAAAAATACAATTAAAGAGTAAAAACTGAACAACAAAAATGAAAGACATAATTACTAACCAAATAAGGCAGAGGAAACAAAATAAAGCTGAAAGACAATTGAAACTACAATAATTAGGTACATATTTAATGAAAATAATGCTCTTTGTAAATATATAATAAGACTAGAGTGCGAGAATTAGTTGAACCAGTAAATGAAATAAATTGTAATAATTTTGTACA